AAAAGTAAAACGCAGGAAGAACTATCAGGAGAAGGGATAGTAATCAAAGGGGGAGGGGAAGTGGACAAGCAAGGAAACAAAGGGGGGCAACTATGGCTATCTCTTACGCGGCAGCAGCTCAGCGGGCCATGAGTGAAAGGGAGAAAAGGGAGTTCACCCAAAGCCAAGGGGCACCAACTGGAAAGCAGCCATCTCAATCGACATCACAGTCAGGGACAATCATCAAGACAGGGGATTTCGAAGCCGCGCACACTGGGACAGAAGGCAATGGAATTTCTAATGGAAAAAACGAAAATCACAGCGGAAATCAAAGTGACGAAAGAGGTAATCAAGGGTGAGGGGGGGAAGGAAAAAGAGGTGGAGGTGTGGGATTATCATGAAGAAGATATTCAAACATTGAACGAATTGTATGAGAAGCATGTGGTACTGTTTCATTTCTCAGGACGAAGTAGGGATCTCTCGCTCAATGAGAAGCGAAGATGGGTAATGGACAGGTTCAGGGCGATGGAAAACATCCCAGGAGGGGAACCGAACGTTTCCTACCATAAGAGGGGAAGGTTCTCTATCATGATTGTTTGTGTAGACCCGATGTACGCGCAATACCTCTTGTCAATTGGTTCGCTGAAATGTAAGGGGGCGGTGGTAACCATTCAGTTATGGAAACCACCATGCCCCCCAGAGGCGGAGGCATCAAGGCACAGACAGTCGATGATGAAAAATCACTTCTGGGTGCAATTTGACAATTTGTCAGAAGGAATACACAGTTTTGTGCAAAAGAGGCTGGTGGAAGAAATCCCTAATAATCCTATTATTGATTGGCTCCCTGCAAATCCAGATTTCTTAGCACCAAATCACGACTCGCGAGTAGCATGTTTGGAGGTCAAATCAGGTGCGCCGCCGAGGTTTCCGGATCAAAAAAAGTGGCCAGCGAATCACAATTTTCATATAGACTAAAACAAACCCTTTTTGTGTCAAGTGCAGGGGAAGGGGCCATCTGGGATCTTTTTGTCCGCAGGGAGGGGCAAACAACAAACAGACGTCACTGCGACCGTCTATGTTGCAGGAGTGTGAAACCAAGCCGGGGTTCTGGTACATTAACGCACCACAGTATAGAGGGTGGATATTTGATGATAACTTGGAGGCACCAAGGTGGGTGTGGGTCCTTAACAGAGAACCCACAGTCAAACCAGATATATACCCTTCGTATGACAGTAGGTGGAGGCAGACAGGAGCGAGGAGGATGGAGGATAAAGAGATAGGGTATCTGGCGAAACCAATGGTTGATGACACGATGACATGGGATGCCCAGCAAAGGTTGAAGCTCATGGAAGACCTTCACGAGCTTGGGAAAAATGCAGAATTGTTTTTTCTTGAAAATTTGGCAGCAAGGAAGCAGCAGCAAGAGCAGCAGGAAAGACAAGAGAGTAGCACAGAAAAAATGGAGGAGGAACAAGGAGAAAACATGAAATGTGAGGAGGAGGATGGGGAAAGTACAACCGGACAACAACAATCCTTAAAGAGGAAAGGTCACTCAGGGGAGAAAGAGGGAGTAGACAAACAAGAGGGTCATTCGCAGCAAGCCAAAAGGCAGCAGAAGGCTACTAAAATTAACAATACGGAGGCGAGTCGAACGGCGGAATCAGAGGAAGGAGCAACACAGGGTAAGGAGGGAAGTACCCAAGCAACGAGGACGGAGACCAGCAGTCAGCAAGGTGATTCCACAATGGCATTCCCGGGAACCACCACAGCAGAGCCACCAGCCGGTACCATGGGGGAGGGAAGAAAACGTATGCACAACATTGAAAATATGACAGGAGAGGAAATACAACAGGCGGAGGAGGATCAGCGAGATTTTACTGCAGACTCAGACGATGAGGACTCGTTGGGGGAAGAAGACGAGAAGGAAGAATCAGGGGAGGAGGACATGACGCTAGAACAGTGGGTCCAGACGGTAGAACAACTGGAATGGGGGAGAACAATTGAATGCGAGATCAGACAGGCTCATCATAAACATTTGAGGAACTTGAAGCAGGCGACCCAAGTGGCGGAAGACATTACTTCTGAAAATCGTTTTGAGCTGTTAAAAAGGGAAGGGGAGATAAACGAATTTTATGCGGCTCAGTACGCGAGGAAAGCTCGCCCTATCAAGAACGACATTCAAATTCAGAACGAAGAATATGACAAAATCTTCCAATGGCCAAAGACATATCAAGACAAKGGCAGCAAAGTAGCCAACARAAAGAGGAAGGCRCGGAGGGAGGACGAGAAGGGAAGCAGGGAGGAMCAGTCAATGGGGAYACAAGACCAGCCTATGAAGGATGTGGATGAGCAGCAGGAGGAAGGGGAGGAATATGAAAAACAGGAATTGCGGAGGCAAGCAGCAATGTTGGAGGCTCAGGTAAATGTACTAAAGGATGAGAACAAAGAATTTGAGGAGGAGA